GCTCCCTGTCTTAATGAATGCTGCCTTTATTAAGAATCCCATTAAGCTCCACTGCACCCAGCCATCAGACACTGTAAATATTACCCTTTAGAAATACATCCAGGGATCCCGAGCAGGCGGCTAGCCTGGTTGCAAGCACTCACTCTGGCTATAGGGAGACTACTTCAAACACCAGAGCTGTATGGAGGGAAAGATGTTGTTTGATGGGTTAGTACCTTTCTCCATTTGGAAAGATGGATTACAATCGTTAGCAGATAATGTCAACAAAGCCCCTGAGATGATTTAAATACGAGTTGGAAGCAAAGTGATTTCAGAATACCAATGAGTTCTCAGGTGTTTTACCTTGTATTTTTTTTCCTCCAAAGTAAGAAAGTAGATTGCCAAAGCTAAGCAGTTTCTTGACAAGGTGTCACAGGGTTATTTTACCCTGGTGCTGATTATTATCTGTTATTTATTAGGTGAAATAGTCCAGTAAGCACTGCTTTCATAAATTGCTTAACTCATTAGGGGTCACAGTATAACTCCAGAAGACAGAAGCCAAAATCAGTGAATGTTTATCAAACAAATAATCATGTACTCAGTTCTTCGTTAGTCCCATGGGAGAAGAAACAAAATAGCACAATAAATGATCTTTGTCATTAAATCCTTTCAGAAAACAAAAAGAAGAAATACAAGAGTGTTTAGCATAGTAAGTACTGAAGCATGTACTTTCTAGAGTTAAATCCTAGATGCAGTTTTGGGCAGGTTCACCTTCTGGCCTCAGTTTCCTCAACTGCAAGAGCAGGTTGATGTTTTTCTCTTGAAGTTATTTTTAGGAGTGATGGAGTCAGTCGTTACATATACAATCATACACGGCTTAACAGCAGGGACAGTCTGAGAAAGGCATGGTTAGGTGATTTTTGTTATAGGGTGTATTTACACAAGCCTAAAGGATATAGCCTAATTATCCACATAGGCTGTATCATATAACCAGTGTATTCCTCATGGGACCACTGTCGTGTATGAGGTCTGTCGTTAACTGTCATTATGCAGCACATGACCGTAGTAAGAATTCAACAAATCTTGTTAATGGTAGTTACAGGATACCTGACCTTCACTGTGAATACTAGAGGAATTCAGAGGAGAGCAAGAACATTTTGGACTGGGGCAGGGAGACAATCTTTATAGGTCATCTTAATCCTGAAGGAAATACCAGCTCTAAGTGGGGAAAGACATCTGATAAAGAAAACAAGATGAGCAAGAAATAGAGATGGTGGATAGGAAAGGAGCTGGGTGCTGCTCTGTGGACCAGAAAAAAGAGCTCCCACTTGAAGGCATAAGGGTGGAAATATTGAAGGAATGACAGGCCCCACTGATGGCAGACCTGGAAAGTCAAGCCGAGTGGCCCTGACCTAATCTGATAATATGGAACCATTGTGATTTCTTTGGAAGGAAAGTTGCAGAGTGAGAGATGTAGGTTGAAAAGGTTTACCTGATATCAGTGAAATAGGGCAGCTCTCTGCAGAAACATGAAGCTGCCAGATGGGGTACAAAAAGAGGCACTCCAGGTCTCATGGATCAGTGGAGATGGCCACAGGATGGGAAGGATGGAGTAAAACTGGGGTTCCCTTCCATGCTCAACAAACCCATGCCTACATAAATACCCGGAAAATGGAGAAGGAAAAGGAAAGCGAATCTGGTTTTATGGAGCACCTTTACCATGCCAGACACTAGGCTGGCTGCTTTTATAACCTTTCTTGTTTACCTAGCTCCAACCATGGGAACCTTGGATACCAGAGAATAGCAAGCCCTGGAAACAAGTGGAGCTGCTCTGTTTTCTGGCTGGCTGAGCTAAGCCATAGGTACAATGTGAGCTGACTTTAGAATAGTCAAGGTCCTGGGGCCAGCAGTTGGTGTGGAGGTTGGGACAACTGAATGCCATGGTTTGAGTCCCAGACTTGGCAACTTGAAAAACATACCAGACTTGGGAACCAGCAATTAGCGTAATGGCTATGTTGCTGGACTCCCACGTAGTCGACCGCGGTTCAAGTCCCGGACCCGGTGGCTTGAATCTCACGCCGGGCGCGTGTGCGTGCGTGCCCAAGATCCCAAGAGGAGAATGGAGAAGGGATTGCGGCGTGACCATCCCCCCTGGGGGGTGATTTCTCGCTTTCTGTCTCTATGTCTCTCTCTGTCTGGCGAGCGCATGTGCCCTATAGCAAAAATCTCTCAAAAAAACCAACCAAACAAACAAAAATACCATACCAGGCTTGTGTGCCTGCATCCCCAAAAATCCCAAGAGGAGAATGGAAGAGAAGGGATTGCAGCATGGCCATACCTCCCCCCCGGGGGAGGGGTGAGTTCTCACTTTCCCTCCCTCTGTCTCTCTCTGGAAAATGCACATGCCCTATAGCAAAAAATAAATTAATAAATAGTCAAGGTCTTCCAAGTACAAGCACCATGTTTAAAGCTGCGAGTTCCACTTTGGAGTCCAGGGGAGAGGTACAGATGTGAATGTCATTGGCAGCTCATGGGTAAGACCTGAGGAACCTTAGAGGGAGGGAGTGTTGGGAGAAAAGAGCAGAGGGCTGAGACCTCAACCCCAGAGATTCAAGAAAGGAGCTGAGGGACCAGCAGTTAGCGTAATGGCTATGTTGCTGGACTCCCACGTAGTTGACTGTGGTTTGAGTCCCGGACCCGGTGGCTTAAACTCACACCGGGCGTGTGTGCCCAGATTCCGAGAGGAGAATGGAGGAGAACGGATTGTGGCGTGGCCATTTCCCTGGGGGGGGGGGGGGTGTGTGATTTCTCGCTTTCTGTCTCTATGTCTCTCTCTGTCTGTCTGGCGAGCGCACGTGCCCTATAGCAAAAACCTCTCCAAAAAAAGAAAAAAAAAAAAAAAAAAAAAGAAAGGAGGTGAGAGAGGGAAGGAGCCAACAGGAGCCCAGAGAGAAGGGGTGTCAGGAGGGAAGAGGTGATTAATATCTGCTCCTCCAAGGAGCCCAAGGAAGATGGGAGAGAGAAAATCCCACTCAAGTGATTAGAAATGCAATCAGTGGTAAGAAAAAAATGTCAGTGGAGGGAACAGAGAGAGAAGCCAGATTGTAGGGCTCTAAGGAGGGAATGTGGAGTGAGAAAATGACACATTAACTGAGAGGAGAGACAGAAGGGAGGGGATAGTGTATGGTAATTTCTTGAAATAAAATGAGTTTCTAAATGGTACTGTAATGGCATGAAAAAGTGACAGAACTCAATGATGCTGATGTAATTCCCATTAATAGATTATGCACTGGAAAAAATCTTACATAAGACATACTTGACACAGAATTTTTGTTGTATGTCACACTAAGGTTTGAAAAAAAAAAAAAAAAAAAAACAAGAAGCTAAGATTGTATTTGTACCCAGACTGAGGTAATTTAGCAAGAAAATGATGCTACTACATACCATGAACTCAGCATACAGTGAATTCAACTAAGACCATAGCTTGTTCAAGCACTCATACCAGAGCTCAGAGAATCCATGAACTTCAGCAAGTCTAGCTCCACTGTTAATGACTTCTGTATCTTGGGCATGTCATTCAATGTTTTTCAGAATCAGTCTTCTTTTTTCTTTTTTTTTTGGAGAGGTTTTTGCTATAGGGCGCGTGTGCTCGCCAGACAGACAGACAGAGAGAGACATAAGAGACAGAAAGCGAGAAATCACCCCCCAGGGGGATGGTC